TCTTTTGTAAGCAATACCATAAAGTTGGCTGATCGACGGAGTCGAAAGCGGCTCGGATGTCCAAAAAAACAACGATAAAGGGGGTGGCGGTAAAGATGACGCGTTTTAAGGAGTTGGTGGAGCGTAAACAAGTGGTCTATACACCATCGACTGGGGCGGAAACCAGCCTGTTATTCACGGGAGTGCAATTCTCAAATCGGAGTTAGTCTGCGGAGTAGAATGGATGTTGACAGCTAGGTGGCAACGGACATCCGACTGATTCCTCAGTGGTTAGCGCATAGGGTAGGACAGCTTTCTTGAAGATCGAGGCGATAATTGACTCGATTCAAGCGGATGGAACTGTTTCTTCACACCAGACCTTAGAGAATAAAGCTGTTAACTGGCTGACAAGTGTTTCGCCCCCGAACTTGAATAGCTCTGGAGGAAGTCCGACTGGGGCAGCAGACTTGAATTGCTTCAAGTGTCGGGGTTCAAGACAGACCTCAGCTTCAGTTGGTGGTTCAAATGAGACGTTTCAATGCGCGCAAGTAGGTATACTCTATAGACTCGCTGGAGGAGATCAGCTGAAATGAATGCGGAAGTGTTCAGCCCAGCGGTTCATACGCCTGTGTAAGTGGCTTATCGGCGTTCCGTCAACCTCGCAAATGACATCACTAACATCAGGTCTTTTGTGACCAGTGGGCCGAATGACCTGGAAGAGCTTGTGGAAGTTTCCAGAGGGCTGCCGTTTCCATCCCTGAGGCGCGCTGGGACCAACATGTTTCGCGACCCGCACGCAGGCTTTGCTTAAGCTGTTGGTTGAGTATGCGATGCAATGCATGTCTACTTGAATCGGTCGGGATAGCTCCATGACAATCAAACAATTCTGGTGTGTGCGGAAATCCAGCCCCTCAGAGGGCTCCTTGTGATTCCGAAGATGGAATGACTGGAAATTAGCATCGCTTCACGTAGGCAACTCCAATGATTTTCAATGACTTGAGGTGGAGCCACAATAAATGTATGCGATAAGGAAACCTGACAAGTTGATCGAGTAGAAAGGTCAGCTAAGTTGTTGGTATCCAGCACATGGAGCTTTCGCTTTGAGGAGCCGCCGAAGCGCATGCAGATGTTCGCGCAGACTAAAGCATGATCTGAATCAAGGTACGTAGACCAAAGCGATCTGCAACCCCGGACGCTGCCTCGCCATCTCAAGCTGATTACAATGCGACCATGCTAGCGTTGTTGAAGAAGGACGCCAGGCGGCTGCGCGTCTTCTAGTAAACCTAAAGTTCGTACTTGCGTGAAACAGACGGTGGTCTTCGTATAACGTAAGAAGTTTATCGCCGATGTCAGAACGGCTTTCATCAGGCGCGTGACTGCCACGAAAATGATGTTCGCATGGAAGCAAGCGAAATACTCGTGCAATGAAATCTCCGGCAAGGACGTCATCTGACTTTTCGGCCTTGTTCAAAAGGTTGTGGAGACCACTATAAAAGTCATCCTTAACCGATGCGAAGCTGCAGTCGGTTGGAGCGTAGAAAGAAACGAGAAATAAATTACACCTCTCTTCAGGATGTCTGTTGATTCTACATGGGTCTTGAAGCCGAACCGCACACAGCCGGCTGTCGATTGGAAATCAGTCGAGTAATGCAGCCTTCGTTTTGTCACGCAATGCGATACCGACACTAGCTAAGCTGGCTGTTGCTGCCTGCATGTCACTAGACAGATGTAGATAATATGTGGTCTTAAGAGAAACTGGGGACGACAATGTAACCACGGTGTTGGGATCATGTAGTCAGCTTGTTGTCCAATTTGTAGGAGGGTCCGAACATTGAACGCTGCTAAACAGAGTGAATTACGGGGTCGAAGGATAGCTGATGGCCGGATGATTTGGATACCAGCGACACGGGCATTGGAAGTAGATACAACAGGGTGTGGATTATCAACAAGAGAAAAGTTGGCATGTGATGGTGAAGCACGGGTAGTAGCGAAAGTAGCAGCAGTCTATTAACAGACATTGTGCCATCAGAATCATGGCGGGAGAAAAAATGGAGAAGATAGAAACACGAACTGCGATTTAAAAATGGAAAAGGATGTGTTGGTTTTACACACACCATTTTGTTTTTTTGCTTTTGTTTTATGTTTTGTTATTTATTAGAGAGTGGATAAAATGGCAGAATAACATTGATGCCACTGATGTCTGTTGCGGGTCATGACATCCAATATTTCCAACCAAACTGGAAGTTGACTTCTTCATGCTCCTTCTCCACGTCATTGCCTATCCACCGCAGCACTTTTTCCAATCGCTCCATGGGAGTGCAAATAGCGCTCGACATGGAAGGCGATGAACTGGCATGTGCAAAAAATGCCCGAGTCAACGCATGCGATGTCGGAGAATAACATGCTGAAGACTGGCACTACTCGCTCTAAACACTTTGTCACGCACCTCTGCGTTACGTACGTGGTGTTGCCACCACACAAGAGCAATCCTTCGTAGACAGCGATTGTGGAAGATTGACAGCTGCTTCATGTCTTCCGAGCGAATAGGCCCTCACAGCTGTATAAGAGTACCGTACGGATAGAAGCATTGTACACCCTGCCCTTGAGCTTGAAACTGACATCAAGACAACGCCATAGATGTTTCAATTTAATGAATGCAAGGCCGGCTTTTGCAATCCGTTGTGAGACTTCATCTCCAACACCGCCACCAGCCGTGATGCAACTCCCTAGAAACGTAAAACAAGGGACTTGCAAAATTCATGGTTTTCACAGAGGGCACGATACTACCCGGTTGCCCAAGCCGAAGTAGGGAGTTGTCCTAGGGGATACCACTCCGAGCCTTTGGCTCAATAGCCCAACCGTAAGGCAGCGGAGCAAAGTCAGGGATTCGCACCCATTGGGAGCCGAGGACTGGTTGCTCAATTCATATACCTTTCGTTCGGTGAGTAGCCAAACAGGAGCCCAATCTTCCCCACGATTTCAGCAGCAAGGTGCTGGGATACAATGCTTCACCAAAGTGAAACAAGGTGCAGTGACTTTATTTTGTGGCGAGTCGCATCCGCCACGTCGCACTGTTGTTAAACGGACACAGGTGGCTTTTTATAGGGAGAACGCTTGCCGGAAAAAAACCCACCACTTCCTGGAACACTGCCGCCGAACCATTCGCTGGGGTGAGATAACCAAAAACCACCCAGCTGGCATCACGAGGTTGTTCGGTATATTGTTTACAAGATGTAGGCACCTCGACCCTGGGTGTCTATTCAAGACATTAAGATTTTACGATAGGTTCACCTTCGATCTTCGCTTCGTAGGTCATCGCTGTATGACAGAAAAGCATCGGTTTAAGCGGCTGAGGTACTGCCGTTGATGATTATGATAATGACGGATAGGCACTGAGGTTAGTATACTTTGTGGCTGCTGCCAATTAATAAGTGTAATTTCCGTCCTTAATGGAGCATTTTACCGATCCTCAAGGTATGCGTAGGTGGGTACGCTCAAGTAGGCCTACACGTCGTACAATTTCGCTTGTACTCGGGCGACAACTGGAAAAAGGCCGCAAGCAGTGGGTACCGCAGGTTGTGGTTAATACGCCGTACTTTTGAAGCCTTAAAAGCCGACATCTTTGTGAAGCTATTCTGGGCGTTCATTCGGACCCAACTAAAAAACTGTGGCCAGGCTTGCCTGCCCTCTCTCGTTCGTGACAAAATGGAGCTCGAGAGTTCTGCGAGTAAGTATTGGTTGATCGATGGGTTACGGGGACAGAACCCTGGGAAGGTTAGACCACACTTCTGGCTACTTAGACCGGCTAGGTTGTCTTGTCTTTATGGTCATGACATGAAACTACACAAGCAACGATCTGACCGGAACAGGGCGGAAACTCGGTTAGGGCGTAGAGTCACCGGGCGCTGGAACTCATTTCCAGAAAAGGTTGTCAACGATTCTGCGGATAAGGTATTGGGCGTCAAGTAGACGCTCATGGGTGCCAACATGAAAATTCCCCTTTTCCTGATCAACTCTCATCTTCATATTTTGGTCAAATTATCTATACTTCTGCTTCGTTGGTATTGTCCTTCGTTTAAATGATCTACCATTTCCTTTGCTTTATCTGCGTTTAGCTTTCTTACTTCACGTGAATGACAGTGGGGACTGTTAGTGCATGATACGTAGGCAGTAACTGGTTGACCAGGGCGTGGCTCGGGTGTTTCGGTATAGATCCAGGTTGAGCGGTCAGCTCAAGAAGGAACGCCCATAGAATTCTCCTAACGACCCAGTCCCACTGAACCTGAACATCTCAAATAGAATCAGGACATATATTCTATCGGATTCATCATCAGCATTATAATTATACACGTCAGCTAGAGGAGGGAAACACCTCAGCTACTGTGCCGCAATACAAAGGAAAAGGAAAATAAATACAACAGTTGCGTGCCAGCTGAGCTATCAGCAACAGATAGGCATCGTTCCGATAAGCTACCAGCCGGCTACTAGGCAAAAAGAAAAATTATTGCTTTACACTATGAAATGAGATCGTGGGTAGAGGGGGAAGCTAAAAGAGATTGGGAGGGACAAAGAAACTCACAGCATGAACGCCACTAAGGTCGGCGCTTTGTCCTGTCAGCAAGTGTATCCAGCGAAATGTGTTCGTTTTTCGGACGCCAAACAGGGAGCCGTGACGCTCCAACCGAGGCCGGCTCCGAAGTGAGGGCATCCATTCCTCTCGACCAAGTCATCGCTTGGCCACCTCTTTTCTTCTTCCATCCACATCCCCGGTGAGCAAACAACGCACGTCGCGGAAGTCGGTGGGCTGGTTGCGCAACACGTGGCCGAACCATCGGAGGCTGGTGCGTGAAATAACGGTGTTGAGCGGTTCAGATCCTTTTTCTGTGCCGTAAACAAGGCGTCGAACTCGCTCGTTACTTACGCGGTGTTCCCACCAGATGTGAGCCAAAATGCGAAACCAGTAAAACATGCAGAAATCGTGACTTAGAACGGTTTTGGGAAAGGTAACTTCCTAAACTCACCAGACAACGTCTCTGAAAGACTTTGGGACTCCAGCAGCGTAAATCGAAAGGTCGCCGTAAAGGTAAACTGATATGACCAGATAGAACAGGATATTTCCGGTGCGTCCGAAGTATAGGGTAAACATGTCACCCTACGGATGAAGGGTACATAGTGGGGTTAAATGAAAATACCAGTTCAAATTTTCGTACTATATTAAAGTGCTGTCTTAAGGATGTCGCATCATCTGAGTCCTGCAGACCTGGTTAATCAGAAAACAGTTCAAAATATACCAACCAGAAACGGATGACTCCGTAACATGCTGCGCAGGCACTGCAAGCATCCTGTCAAGGTTTGGGAACTTAGACATGTAATAATGCTCATTTTGATTACCTGAGCTGAGCTGTCACTCGAGGAAACACAATGAGATTTTCTGACAACGAACACGGCATTAGTGATGGACAACGCCTCGACAGTGTAAGTAAAAGTAATGAAACTGAAGCAAATATGAAACCGTGAAATAAAGATAAAAACCTCATGAAACAGAGGATGATCAGAACAATGATGCCAGTTAGCCAGCCTGCCTGTTGGAAGGCAGCAGGAAGTGTAAGTGGACCAGTTCCCATTATCACATTAAATAAAAAAGTAAAACCAGCCTGTAGGAAAAATTAAAAAAACTGAAATTCACCAAAGAAGAATATTGCTGGTCAGCAAATGCTGCATGGCCCTGGACTAGCGCCGACATCGGAGCGTCGGATCCTCAATTGCCGGAGGGTCCCATCCGCAGTGTGATTCCGGTACACACGGTTTAGGTTGTAGGTGGATTCTCCTGTGTCTTGGACAATTTACCATACTTCCTTCTTTCTTCCGACACATACAGTGGCATTACATGAACCATATTTTATATTCCGTTTCCTTTTTAACAACTTGCTGTTATATTTCAACATTTCCACTTCTATTTAACGTCGCAATTAGGCAGGGTACAAATCAGTTTTTGAATTTTAGAGGTACTGCCCTCTTTTCAAGCAAGTTGCGCAAGTACCCAATAAAACCCCTACTTTTTGAGAACGCAGAAACAGGTTGTCCTGATGAACAACAGCCCGTATTCAAAATCGCGCCAGTGGCGGATGGAACGGTCCTTTCACGGGTTTCACGGGTTTCCCGGGTTTGCGCAGAACGAGTAAGCGTAGCTTTTCGGTGGTTCTGCCTAGGGATCTTACAGCAAGGTCCCGATCTCGTCGGTAGGTACCAGATGTTGTGGGTCTCGACGCAGTAGTGGTGTTCAGCACAAGAATTCAGCGAGTTGACTGTGGGAACGTGGATACCTGGAACAAGAGAGTGGTGTAGGTAAATTCGGCAAAGTTGGATAGAAGCAAAATGATAGAAGCGCCGCGTGTTAGCTTGGCAAATGGCCAGATCTTAGCAACGTGGAAGACCAGCGAGGTAAGAGCCAAGCGTCTAGGCGCTGTTTGAAGGCCTCCGTATTGGGCGCTGAGACAACAACTTCAGGGAGGGCGTTCCAAGCGAAGGCAATACGCACACTGAAACTGTTTCTTCGGCACAGAAGTCGACTGCTACGAGTCAGCAGTTTGAGTGAGTGCCCTCGAAGATGATCTGTACGGGCGCGGACCAGCAATCCTGCGTTTGGGTGCCAGTTATTAGTCAGGACAGAATAAGCTAACATAAGGTCGCCACGAAGCCTGCGATATTTCAACGGGAAGAGGTTAAGGGCCGCCAGACGCTCCTCATACGAGAATTAGGATAGCCCGTCCACTCTCTTAGTGGCTCTGCGCTGTACAGTTTCCAGCATGGCCTCGTCCTTCTTCAGGTACGGCGTCTGGACAAGTATGTTGTACTCTAGCAGCGGACGTACTAAAGTGCTATAGAGACGGACAAATGTCTCTCTAGGGAAAGACCCTAGTGCACGTCCAAGGAGGGCCAGGCGAACGCTAGCCTTTCGCGCCAGTGTAGCTACATTGGCGCTCGGGCTCAGGTCGGCGGATATTATGGTCCCCAGGTCGCGTTCCTGGGATGTGGCTTTAAGATGCACACCGCCGATATTGTACGGATTAGCCACACCTTGCCCAATGTGCATGACATTGCACTTGTCGATGTTAAACGGGAGCGAATTTTTCGAGGCCCAAGAATAAGCAGCATCGATATCTGTCTGGAGAAGTGCCTGATCACTTGGCGTGCGGATAGGTCGCCATATCTTAGCGTCTTCCGTATAAAGCAGTATGTGGCTGCTGATGCAGGATGGGAGGTCGTTGATGAACAAATTGAACAGCATGGGCCCGAGGATGGATGGATGGTGGCGCTTTCAGCCAACCAGATATCTGTTGGTCAACCTTAGTAACCAACGCAAAACATGCTGAGTTCATAGCCTCCCTCATCACTGGTGGTTAGGAGTAACATGTTCTCGTGGCTACCAGAGGAAAAATACATTAGACCTACTTATTACCTCACGCACCTCCCTGACAGATACCGATGTAATAGACCGTCTCCCTGAATGTGAGCACAAAATTATCTGAGGTAAAATTATAGCTGAGTCGTCGTACGTGAGGTCTGCGATGGTTCCACACCTACTGCGAAAGGTTAATTGGGTAGAGTTCTCCGCTTTGTTAAGGGTTCAACATTGGAACCATTTCTTTCTTTCGGCTGACATTGAGGGAGCCTCTTATATCACCTATGCCAATATGATTATATGCTTAAGCATACTGGCTTCGTGCGATAATACGAGAGCCTCTTATAAGTACGCTAACAACGCAAAAACAAGCGGAAATTACGAGTGCTAACTAGAACATTTGAACATACTCACTACTTCAGTGTATTATTGAGACTCCAAGGTCTCATAATTGCAACGGACGTGAAACAAGGCACCCGTCTCATGCAGGAAGAAAAACGGGCTGTAAATGGTAAATAAATAAATAAATAAATACTTTATTCTCGACTATGCGAGGCAAGCCCATGGAGGCATGATCAGTAGTAATACATGTCAACTGGGCTGCATTAATGAGAAAAAGGAGGGGGCAAAACTGACTTACTCTTCCACATTATCATGCCTGAAGTTAAATGCGTTGATTCCCCTATTTTAATGGTGGAAGCCTTCAACTCATACTTTGCTAGGTCCATCAATCTTGAAAACGAAACCCTGAAATTGTCAGCTTCGTTTCACTTCTCTGAACAAGTTTCAGCGCTCGGGTTTAGTGTCGTTACGATAAAACGTATGGTTGCTTGTCTACGACCATCCTACAGACCTGGCCCCAATGTGTTCTATTCAGCTTTACTCGAACACGGTGGAGATGATATCCCTCTTATATTATGAAATATCTACTCTTTGTCTCTCCAAGCTGGTCAATATCCCGAACGTCGGAAAACGGCTACGGTTATACCGCGACGTAAATCCTGGTCGGAAACGGACATCCGGAAATACCGGTTCATTAGTCCCACAGCCATGCTCTCACACATGCTAGAGAAAATTGTTAAGGAACATTTGGTTTCGCTCCTAATATCGCACAACCTTCTCTCATTTTCACAGCATGGCTTGCTGAAGTCCCGCTCGTGTGCTACTTGTCAAGTTGACTTTTCAACCAACTAACTGAAGCAATTGACTCAGGTCTTTAGTGCATTGTCATCCTTTTCGACATGCAAATGGCTTTTGACAGAGTCCCACACAAAAGGTCTGCTATATAAATTAAGTACGGTGTTACAAGTCCGCTTAACTCTTGGATCCAATCGTACCTAGTAGGACGGTTGCAAGTTGTGGATATCAATGGTTACATCTCTTCACCTCGCCTGGTTTCCAGTGGAGTGGTACAGGGCAGTGTCTTAAGCCCGTTACCCTTCCTACCATATATAAGTGACCACGCTTCTGTTATACAAGTTGGGACGCCTCATTTGTTTGCTGATGATTTAAAGGTGGTTTATACGTTCACCAGTTTTCATCATACCTTTGAGCTTAACTATCTCCAAAGCGACTTGAAAGCCATTGAGAGATGGACTGATATGTAGCAGATGATATTTGCAACATCGAAGTGTAGTATTCTAGCGTATGGTTGTCAGACAGCAGCAAAGTGTTCAGGCTTCATGTCGAAGTTATACAAATCATCCAGTCTGCTCGTGACTTAGGCTTAAGGTATTCTAGTTCGTTAAACTGTAGCGAACACCCAAATCAAATCGTAAAAAAGGCTAAGCAGTCGTTCGGGCTCATATGCCACCAGCTAACCTTGAAAGAAACTAGACTAAGGGCTTTTAAAATTACTATCTGGCCTTTACTTGAATATTGCTGTGTTGCGTGCAGTAATTTGCAAAAGGGTAACTTGAGAGTAATTGAAAACGTCCAACGCGCCTTCATGAAACGCATACTTCGCAGTTCAACCGTTCTTTCATACAAAGATAGGTGCAACCAGTTGAACCTTCAACCTCTGTGGTTACGAAGAATGCAATTAAATCAATGCTTCCTCCACAAACACGCGTGGAAAAAAGCATTATCTGGAACCTATCGATTACGCTTTCGGGAAAACGCCATTTACGAACGGCGAGATAGTGAATGCATAATCTAATTACCTAAATTCAAGCCCAGCCTAAGGAGAAATTTCCATATTCTTAGGTATGGCTCCATATGCAATAAGCTGCCAAAAGAGATTAGATGTATTGAATCCTTCTGCATTTTTAAGAAAAGGATACAGGCCTATCTGTTAACGGACGGAGCGAAATGGATCATAAAAATGCAACTTCATGAGGAAATGCTGTGTGAAGACGGGCCGGATCATGTAGGATACCAGAGAACATGGACTAGAGTGCACAAGAGAAAACCTTGTCACCTAGAACGGGCTGCTCCAATCCGCTTTTTATGCTATCATCTAACGCTACCTCCTATGCGGTTTTACTCCTTTCAAAATTAATTCATACCAACTGACCTATTTAAAACCTGGAGCAAAAGTATTTACTGGTGGGGCGTCAGGAACTATTTTCGTAATTTTCCCCACAAATTGAGGATTTCTTAATACTGTTCTGAGATCCCCTTCGCTACGATTGTTCTCCAGTGTTAATCATTTTTCCTTCTTTGCTGAACTTAACAGTCCAGAAACATATTCTTGAATCCAGTGATGGCCATAACTGCTTCCGTAGGCGACTTATGCCTATGGACAACGCGTACAGTTATCAATCTCCGGCTGTCACGCCACACAATTTATCGTTTGATCGGCTCGATTCAGTTCGACGCCGGTGTAAAAAACATACCTGCCTATATTTTACATTAATGATATGGTTTTCACATAAGTCTTCGTTTATACATTCTGCCTTATTTCATAGTTGGCCACGACTGGGCTGATCTCATGTGGTGACGGATTATAGCTTTCAGATTACAAAATACTTTACCTCTGCAAGGCAAATTACTACCAACAGACTGGCGCATAAAAAAGTGCCAAAATTGAATGATCCGCATGACCGACTAGGCTGAGGCTTCATGGCTCATAATACATGTACAAAAGCAGCCCTAAAAAGAACAGAATATGTGACAAAAAGGCGATGGCTCATACGCTACTATGCCACACCGGAATACTGCCAGTTATTGCATGGAAGTGCTGACGAAACCCTTCGATGGAATACCTAATATGGAAGCCGGTCATCTGGAGATGTTTTCACGAGTGGCCGTATTACTTTAACTGGACGTCTGTTTAAATCTGCCTACGTTATTTTTCTGGTTTCTAATTGCTTTAATGCATTGATTCTGCCAACTAATTGGTACCTGCTTTGGATCCATTGTAATAAGCTTGAACAAACTGATTACTTTTTG